ACCTGCCCCAGTACTCTACCTTCTTAAGACTGCCTCGCAGGACCTCTTAATTCCTTCAAGTATACTACCTTAAGTTTAAGGTAGTGATTGTGCTGAAAAAAATTCTTTACTCATTATTTTAAGTGCTTTTTAAAGTAATGAATGATTATTGGATTCCATGAAAGGCTTTTTTTCATTTATTGATATAATTATATGTTTATATCTTTTCTTATGTTAATACTTTTTTTGATGTTGAACCTGCATTGTGTGCCTGGCATAAACTCTGCATTGTCACAATGAATTCTTAATGTACTGATGGGGTATTTTTTTATTTTCTATTTATTATTTTTATGTTCATATTCTTTAGTAAAATTGTACAAAATTTTGTTTTAGTATGTGTGCATAAGTGATCATTAGATGCTTTTAAAAAAGCACCATATTTACTTCACAAAGGTACAGGGTAATGAGCTTATCTTTATATTAATGAATGAAACATGGGGATTATTTGACTTGAGAAAGTTTAAGAAATTCTGCTGCAAGTGGGATTTTTTTCACCCCACCCCTGTTTGATGGTTTGCCTTTTTTTCCTACAAAGATTTGTTTGCTTATATTACAAATTTTTTGTCTTATTATTGGATAATTTATATTTTATAGGTAATTTTCTACTTCCTTTAATTTTCCAATTTCTTAGAAATAGTGTACAGCAATTCCCTAATGACATTCTTAGTTACTTTTGTCTTTGCTGCAGTAACTTTCTAATCTGTAATTTTACTGATTCACATTTTCTTTTTTTCCTCTTCTTCTGAAGCTAGTATTTTGTTGTTTGTATTTGGTCTTTAAAATAATTCGGATTTTATTAATCAATTCCATGTTGTTCTTTGATTTTCAATTTTTCTGTTCTTATAATTTGTCTTCATGCTTTCTTCTGTCTTTTTAAGTGTCATCTTCATTCATTTACTACTTTTCTTAGACCTTTAATACAAATTTGCCTCTGAGAATGGCTTTGTCTGCATTGCCTAAATTTTATTATTTGGTATTATTTTATTTTAAATTCATTTTTCTGATTTCTTCTTTAAACTTAGTCATTGTTTAATAGATACTTTCTCACTTTCCATGTAGTTTACAACTTTTGCTCAAATTGTTAGCATTTTATTCCAATTTATGATCCAGTTTGGCATCTAAAGGTGCTTGAGCTGTGTTTTGAAGGAAGAGGGAGCTTCTAGGAGATGGAGGTGAGGAGGGAGGCATTCTAGGCATGGGGGACTCTGTGTTTTTAGTTTTTAATCTGACTCCAGTTTATATTTTCAGTCTTATATTGCTGTCTTTGCACATGATATGTTCCAGACAAACTAGGCAATTTGCTTATCTCCGTGACATTTTTTTTGTTTGTACTTTTGAACAGGCTGTCTGGGCATGCTAGAATGCTCTCCTTTGCCTGGCCTCCAAGAATCCTTAGCCTTCTCCCAATACTCAGCTCAGTGGATACCGCCACCACCGAATTGAGGCCTTTCCAATTTTTTTTTCTTACACTTTTTCTTGGTAGTATTTACTGATCTGTGTAAATGTTATACCTTCTTCCTGTCCCTGTCCATCTCTTGCTCCCCCATGTGGAATGTAACAGCCCAGGGCAGTCTGTTTTTTTTGTTGTTGTTGAATATCTAGCCTCTCCCAGTGCTTTATATATAGTTTTTATTTAATTATTAAATTCATAAGAGCATTGCTCCTTTGACACTAACTCTAGTAATGTTGTATTGTTTAAGATGCAAGACGTTTTTTATGAAATAGTTAAGTTAGAGAATGCTGGTATTGTGATGGCTAGGACTCTTATTCATGTTTAAAGCACTTAATAATTTCAGTGAAATAAATTCATTTAAAATTTTATTTTAATTCTTTTTCTCTCCACAATTTTTCCCTCAACTGACATTCATCTCCAACCTCAAATTATTTATGCATATTAGGATTCCCTATGTTCTGCAGAAAGATTGTAAATTATTCTTTTTTAAAAAATGGTCTTTCAGCACGCAGAAAACAATTTGTGTAAAGAGAGAAGGTGAAGTTGTAAAGACTATTTGGCATCTAATTTAAGGTCACATTATAGATGTTGGTAGCCACATATCTGATTTTCTGGCCTGTCCTTTTATGTTTTTGTTTTTGTTTTTCAGGGAAAGCACTGGACTAGGAGCAAGGGTACTGTGTTCTAGTTTTGATCCTGTCACTAACTTGATGTGACTTTAGGCAAGCTATTGAACTTCTCCGGAGCCTTAGTTTCTTTTGTAAGATAAGGTGTTTGGACTAGTTGATTTTCTGTAGCTCTAAAGTGTTGATTCATTGAATGCAGCTACTACACACTTTAGATATTGCCTTTTGTCTTATTCCTTTCCTGTCCCCCTGCCCCCCCCCCGCCCCTTGGTAGCACCCAAGCAGAAGGTATTATCACTTCTTTTTTGCTGTAAGACTTTTAAGATATACTAACTGATTAACAGCTGCAAAGGTAGAGGTTGTCATGACCATTTTCTGTTCTAAATGGACTCTTGAAAGTTCTGGGCTGGGAGGCTTGGGAGTGAACTGTATATAGAGTCTAATGGTGAAAGTAATTTTTTTGTATTTTCTAGTTGTAATACATAAATTTCACTGATTTTAAAATAATTGGAACTTCCTAGCTTGGTTTCATTTTAGGCAAAGTGTAATTAGTGTCAAATTTAGGTTATAGCAAGAAAAGACTGAATATCGCTTAGTCCCTATCCCTTGGAGTTTTAGGATTCTTCTGGTTAGTTTATCTCCCTTCTACTCTCTAGTCCACCATTGTATTATTACAATAAAAGTTGCTCTTTGGGTTTCTAGAAGAATTAAAATTTTGTTGACTTTTGGTCATATTAGAACTTCACAGCCACCCTTCATCAGCTCAGTTGTTACAACTATATGCTTGTTCTTGGAAGGTTTTGTTTCTTCTCTCTTTTCTTAGGTCTTTAACATAGCTCTTTTGTGAGCCTTTTTCTTTCTGTGTCCTCATACTTTGTCAGTGCATTCAGAATTGTATTTTTTCTTTTACCTTTTCTCAGTAATTTTTCTCTAAAAGTACTCTGTAGCTTTCCATACCTCCATGTGTCTACTAGCTACTCATTCCACCCCTATAAAATTCATCTCGTTCCATTATTGATAAGCATTGTGGTGTTTATTTAACTTATATGCAGAGCACATTATGTGAAATGCCAGGCTGGATGATTCAAAAGCCAAGATTACAGTTGCTGGGATAAATAATCAACAATCTGAGATATGTATACAATACCAGTCTAATGGTGGAAAACAAAGAGGAGTTAAGAAGCCTTTTGATGAGGGTGAAAGAGGAGAGTGTAAAAAGCTGGCTTGAAACTTAACATCAGAAAAATTAAAACCTTGGCAACTGGTCCCATCACTTCCTGGAAAATAAGAGAGAAAAGAAATGAAAGCAATGTCAGATTTTATATTTTTGGGCTCAAAGATCACTGCAGATGGTGACTGTAGCCATGAAATTAAAAGATGCTTGCTCCCTGGAAGAAAAGGTTTGGCAAATCTGGACAGCATACTAAAAAGCAGATATGTCATTTTGTTGACAAAGGTCCATATAGTCAAAGCTATGATTTTTCCAGTAGGAATGAATATCTGAGAGTTGGACTGTAAGGAAAGCTGAGCACTGCAGAATCAATGCTTTAGAATTATGTTGCTGGAGAAGACTTTTGAGAGTTCCTTGGACAGTAGGGAGATCAAATCAGTCAATACTTAGAGAAATTAATTCAGGCATTGATTTATGAATTAAATGAAATTAAAAGTAATTTGACTGGAAGTTCAAATAATGAAGCTGAAGCTTAAATATTTTGGCCACATACTGGGAAGATATAGGACTCATAGCAAAAGACCCTGATGCTGGGAAAGATTGAAGGCAGAAGGAAAAAGGGCATGGCAGAGGATGAGATGGATGGAAAGTGTCATGGAAACAATGAACATGAACTTGGACAGATTTTGAGAGATAGTGAAGGACAGAAGGCCTGGCTGTGGTCCATGAGGTCATGGAGAGTCAGACACTACTGAATGACTGAACAACAACAAATAGTCCATAGAGTATTGGACTCTGTTGTCAATAGAGTGTCAGGAAGAACTGGATTCAAATGTTGCCCTGGTTTTTATTAGCTGTGTGAACACAGACAGAGGACAACCTATTTCCCTTTCCTTTATTGAGATACCTAAAAGACTATTTTATAGAGGACTCACACAGGGCAAGTGCTCACACGGAGGTCAGAAGAAGTAATACAGGTACACTCAAGGTCTCAGTGAAGAACTCTGAAATTGGTTGTGAGACATGAAACACTGGCACAGGACTGTCCAGTATAGCGTGCCTGCATCAAAAAAGGTGCTGTGCTTTGAGAGCAAAGCAGAATTGCAGTAGTTCAAAAGAAATGTGAGATGCACAAATTTAGAGATATTTCCACTCCAAATGTTCATATGGACTGTTTGTGTCCAACCTGTGGTAGAGCCTTCCGAGCTCTTATTGGTCTGATCAGCCACAGTTGGGCGTGCTGTGCTTTCACTCTGACATAGTGATGTCATTTTGGTCCTCTTTGAGCACAAAAGACAACAACTAACTAATGAGGATGTAGACAAGTCACCTAACTTATGTGATCCTCAGGTAGCTCTCTCAGACTATAAATTATGATTTGCCCAGGAAGAAGGAATTCCTACTCTTTGATTCATCCCTTTATGATTTCTCTGTTCTGGTTTTCACAGTCCACATTTACATATTAAAGGTAACTTCTTTCCTGCCTGTGGAAGTCTCCCCTTTTCCCTTAACTTTTAAAATAACATTTTTTAAAAACTGAAATAACTGGGACCCTCTAGTTGATCAGCGATTTTGAGGAGGGGACTGTTTTGTAATTTATTACTTCAATTACCTGAATTGGGCCAATATCTAAGGTAGAAGAGTTAACTTGTGGCTGTGCTGATGCCAATTCAAATTACTTTAGATTTTTCTTTTCTCCTTTTATCCACAGCAACTGGAACAGATCCAAAAGGAGCTAAGTGTTCTGGAGGAGGATATTAAACGAGTGGAGGTGAGGATCTAGATATTGTTGAAACTCTGGAAAGTTTTCATATCCATCAAATTGCCACCTTTGTTGCATATGTTAACTTTATGGGATTTTTCTCTATAAAGGAAAAAGTAACAGTTATTACTCTCACTTTAATTAGTATATTTACTGACCAATATTAATTTTTGTGGGAAAAAAGGTTGAAACATGTTTTCAGGCTATCAGTATATAGTCTCTGTTTGGTTTTGTGCCACCATGTTTTTTGCAGCTGGATAGAGAAAAATTCAGGTTCATCTTAACAGCTCTAAAAAAAAAAGCTTGAGTATTAATGTAAAAGTAATTGGTTGCTACTTATTCCTTCAACAAAGAATTATTAAGGGTTTATTATATATGAAAGCACTATGCTTGGTGCTGAGGGAGGTACAAAAGACATGTAGGCCTGAATTCTCATTCATTAGGAGCTTAACATCTAGCAGTATAGAACTAATAATTCTTAATTATCTAATTAAAATTTTAAAATACATTTTTTTATTGTGTATAATTTTGTGTGTACAAGTTGTATTACTGTAGTAATACAACTAGTATTGTTGTATTACTAGTAGAATGTAAGCTCCTTGAGGGTAAAGACTATTTCATTTTTGTAATTGTACCCTTACCTTCTAGCATAGTGTGCCTAAATAGGCAGTGAGATGGGTAAATGGATTTGGAGGAGGAGCACATGAGCTCACTGTGCCTGTGACTCTTACTAGTTGTATTTGTGACACTTAATCTTTCTTAGCCTCATTTGGGAGGATGGACACTTAATAAATTTATTGACTGACTGAGAGACAGTATCTTCTCCCTTACTTGATGTAACAAAGCAAAGCTCAGTGACCATTGGTCAGTTTTGTGGAGATTGTTGTTAAGTTATAGATAGGTTACACTAGATCAGAAATTCTTACCTTGTACTTGTTTAAATTTTTTTTTTGATATCTGTATTTCAGCATAATTGGTTTTTTGTAATCTTATGTATTTTATTTTGTGTGTTTAAAAACACTTTTCTGAGAAGGAATACATCACTCTTCCAGACTGTCAAAGGGATCCATGAACCAAAAAAGGTGAACCCTTGACTTAGATGGTGCTGAAGTCCCTTTTGGGTCTGGGATTCTGTGATTAGATGGCAGTAGCCAGGTACCAGATGTTCATATGTTACTGTAGGTTGAAATAAACATCCTTACCTATCATATAACTTCAATATGGATTTATTTTGCCTTGTTTATTATGTTTTCTGTAGTTTTTTTTTTGTATCACCAGTGGTGAATAAATTGAATAATAATGCATACATATACACAGTGCATACTATATTAATAATACACAGTATTCATAACCTATCTGAATTAGAGCATTTTCTTTCAACATTTTCACAGAATTTATTGGTACTGTTATTATTTTTTTTTGGTTAGGTTTTTTTGTAATAATATAAGTTCTAAGCAAAACTTTGCTTTTGGTATTCAGCCAGCTTTTGTTTCATGAAATGAAAGTGATTGGACTTGGATATATGAATCGTTGATGTATTTTTAATGCTTCAATTCACTTTAGTCAATTAGAGGAAATAGAAACAATCCTGAAATTTCATTTTCCTTTATGTTATTAAAGTAGAAGATAATTTTTTCTTTAGTAATCAGTGAACAAGCATTGATTAAATGCCTACAATATGCCTTGTATAAAGGGACATTAGTAAGAATTTGGTATATTTTTTTTGATATATTCAGACTTTCCTTTTACTGTTAACATTTTAGTTAGTGTATCAGTTCACTCTGCATAGTTATCAAATTCATTACATTTTGGCATAAAAAGATTAAACAATTCTTTTATTCAAGTGCTGTGTTAGGTCAAGTCATCAATTCATTGAGCAAATAGTCTCTTCCCTCAAGGAGCTTACATTCTAATGGAGGGATGAGAACACATAAAAGGGAAGCTTTAAAAAAGGGTTTGGGGGGCTGGAAGTGGGAGTCATTCGAGTCAAGAATGGAACCTGTAGAAGAATTAAGACATAGCTAGCTTAAGTGTTTTCCTTAAAATGGGTAGGACCAGCCATTTAGAGGAAGGGGCAACAAAGGTGGAGTGCATGTTCGGTGTGACAAGGCCATGAATGTAGTGACTGATCAGTGAATATTCCTTTCTTTCAATTATGGAAGGTTTCTGTTCTAAGATGTATGTATTGAGATGGACACAGATAAATATTGTCATAAAAATATTCTTATGAATCTGTACTAGGTGTTTTTTTTTTCTGAAGAGTCTCCCAGATCCTTAAACTTGTCCATGTAGTAAATTTTCATCAGTGATCAATACCTACTCTTCAATTTGTGGACTTAGAGCAGGAGTTCTTATTATATTTATTTATTTATTACCTTTTAGTTTACTTTTTAATTTTACTTTTATTGTGTTATGGACTTTTTAGGTAGTCCTGGAGTCAGGAAGTCCTGAGTTCAAATCTGGCTTTGGACGCTTAAAACTGTGTTACCCTGGACAAATTAGTTAACCTCTATTCACTTCAGTTTCTTTTACCGTAAGATGGGGATAACAGCAGTACCTACCTTAGTACCTACGTTCCAGGTTTGTTGTAAAGAACCAATGAGGTAATACTTGTAAAATAGCACTTAGTACAGTGTCTGGCACATCATAGTCTCTATAAGTACTAATTCCTTCCTTTTCCTCTTATATGCATAAAATGAAATATCTACAATTATGAAGGAAACCAGTTATTGAAATTAAAATGTAAATTCATGGACCCCCTAAAATCTGACCACAGATGTGGTTTGTGGACCCCAGGTTAAGAGATTCTGGCTTAAAGAGTTGTCTAGGGGCACTGAAAGAGTTAGGTGCCTTGTCCAATGTTGTGCAGTCATTGTGTGTCAGAAGCAGGACTTGAATGAAGGTCAGACCTCTGTCTTTTATTCATTAGCTGCCTATAGTTTAGATAATATGTAGGCATTATACAGAATGAATTATCAGAGACTCTCAGCTGAGATTTTCATGTAATCTATACCCCTTATTTTACAAATAAGAAAAATGAGATCAAGCAAGAAGTGAGGTGGCTTGCTAAAGTCATAAACTTAATTATGGTAGTGAAGTTAGAGCTAGGTCTTAAGATTCCTGACTCAACCCATGGTTCTCTCCTTTATATTATGAAGGAAATAATTTTTCTTCCGTATTTTAAGACTTCCCATTCTCTGCCCTTTTTTGTGTTTTGGCTGTTGACTACTTATTTCACAGAATATACGTAGTCTCAATCTTCTCTTATTAAATCTTGCTCAATAAAGACCATATAAATTAATACTAACTCAAATTTGTACTAAAATATAACCAACAGTGGTATACACTATTTCTTTTAGGGTTATTTTAGCAAGGATTAAATCCTTAAGATAGTCAGCCAGCCAGTCAACAAGTATTTATTAAGCTCTAGCTATGTGCTAGTCACTGTGCTAATCACTGGTGATACAAAGAAAAGCAAAAACAATTCCTCCTTTCAAGGAACATAATTCTAATGAGGGAGACAACATATAAATAACCAGGTATGTACAATGTATATTTTTGGAATAGATGGAAGATAATCTGAGAGGGGAAGACATTATCATCTTTGGAAAATTGAGAGAAATCTTAAAGGAAGCCCAGGAAACCAAGAGATGAAGGTGAGGGGGCAGAAAATTCCAGGCATAAGGGACAACTAATACAAAGTCATGGAGATGAAAGAGTATATGTGAAAAACTATTAAGTAGGTGAGTGTAGCTGGATTGGATGGTGGAGTGAGTAGAGCATAATAGAGTGAGAGAAGAGTTGGAATGGTAGAATGAGGCTAGGTTATGAAGAGCTCTAAGTGCGAACATAATAGGGAACTACTGGAGCTCATTGAGCGGGGAAGTTCAGGAAGGGTCACTTTGACAGCTCAGTTGAACTGGATGAACTGGAGTGGGAAGAGACTTGAGATATAGAGATGAACCAGAAAGCTGTTGTACTAGTCCAGATGTGAGGTAATGAGGACTTTCACCATTGAGTGCCAGAGAAGATAAAGGGGTATATATGAGAGATGTCACCAGGTAGAATTAACAAGATTTGGCAACAAATTGGATATGGGGGGTGGGTGGGAGAGAATGAAGAGTTAAAGATGACACCTATGTTAGGAGCTTGGTTGATTGGGGAAATGGTGGTGCCCTCTACAGTAATAGAGAAGTTCAGAAGGGGAGAAGGTTTATGAGAAAGGATAATTCTGTTTGTGGCATGTTTGTTCAAAATGTAGATGGTGATATAGGAGCAGAGATCAAGAGAGACTAGAGCTGCATAATAATGCTGGTGAATGGGTGAGGAATGTATGTTGGAACTTCTCAGCACTGATCTGAAGTAACCTGCCTGATAGGCAGTTGGACTTAACATGTAAAATTGACTCTTCCTTGTAGCATGGCCACATTTATCCAGCTTCGTAGCAGGAGGGTGAAGTAGATTTATTTATCAGATTTAGTCTTATTTTCATAACCATTTTAAATAATGGAAAGACAAACCAGTAAGGTGGAATTGGTGAAGTTTGTGAGATATCCTAAATGTATTTTATCACTTTATATTTTGAAGCTGTTCATTTATTCACCAACCTATTAAGCACAAACTAGAGTTCTGTGTTACTGGAGTGGACGAAAAGTTAAAAAAGACATGGCCTTGCTCTGGTGGAGCTTACAGTCTTGTAAGGTGATAAGCCACAATTAGTGACAACCAACATGCGCAAAATTTTGTTCTGAGTGCTATAGAAATGTGTAACACAAAATGGTATGTGAAATTCTAGGGAAAATTTTCCTTTTGAAAGGGGTGTTTAGATTTTTGATTATAATTTATGTGTTCTTAAGATCCTGCCCAGAACTTCATTCTGCATATTTCTTTTGTAATGAATCTTAGTAATAATAAGCCCATTAGAAAATGGGTTTCTGCCCTCTGAGAAAGGATAGTTTAGATGCTTCTACTGTTCAGAAAACACTTGGCCTTAACCAGGTATAGTCCCTTTCTGTAGTCCTAGGAGGAATATAAAATAGCTTATGGGTATACAGTAGGCATACAAAACATATGCTTCTGAAGTAAGATCATAGAATCATAGATTTTTGAGGCCACTGATTCCAGCTCCCTCATTTTACAGAGGAGGCAACTGAGAAGAGAACTTGATTGATTTGCCTAGTCACATAGCTATAAGTGCATGCTGAGGCAGGATTTGAGCTTAAGTCTTCCTGACTCCAAGTCCAGGGCTCCATCCATAGTGCCTCTAGAATTGCTTGTCAAGACAAAAACTCTTGTTACTATATTATTAAAGTATTTAGACAGTCTATTGAATCATATTGCTCCAAAGATGACAAAATAATATTTATATGCAACTCTGATATCAAAATGAGTAGCCTAGCAGGTGAAAGTCAGGGTTGTCTACTAGAGCCACTATTTTCCAATATATCTTTCTTTTGAACTTGTAGAACAATCTAGCTATGAAGGATCCTAATATTAATAACTCTGTGCACAGGTCCTGAAATTTCTTTAAGGTATTATAGTTACTTTGGTGTAGTCCTTGACCCAGCCTCCCGTTGTCACTTTAATACTCTACCTTTATTGTCATGCAATAATCTCTCTTCCTTTTAAGTTCATTCATACTCAGTCTAGATTATTTTGTCTCCTTTCTCAAGGGGTTCAGCACCTAGCTCACTATCTTTTCTTTCATAGCTCTTTCTCCTGTCCTAGGGCACTTCGTGATCCACATTGCTCCCCCAAACTTCCTAATTTACTAATTCCTCACTCTCTTTAAGCCTCATGACCAATTTCTTTATTATATTTTAGCCACACACTTAGGGATGTTCACATCCTAGATCTTATCACTACATTCTCATGTGTTCTACTTTAATGAAAAATTTTGATATTCCTCTAACTGGCCATAGTCTCCTACTATTATATCTTTTTGTATTCCCTGCTCTTCCTAAACTTATTATTTGCCCCCATAGAGGTGTTTAATCCTTCTATGTTTTAGTACTTTTTTAGTTAGCCCTCTTTGTAACTTCACTTTGCTCTTTCTAGTCTTGACTTAGCCAGTTCAACTTCATGCTGCCCTCAGCTCTCGAATCCCTATCCCCCTTTATCTATGTCTGGTCACCTTTTTGAAAACCTTAGCCCTGGATTACTCTCCTTGTCTGCATTCTCCTCTCATATAAGGAAGTCATACAACTGTGCTGATATGGTACATTACAAATCTGTATTATTTTACCTCAACTGGGCCCTCACTGTAGCAAGACAGTGCTTCCCTAATTGAATCCCTATCTCAGTCCCCACAGAAACTGATCTAAGGATAGAAAAGACTTCTCTATTTAAAGTTCCACAAATTCCACTGTCCACCACTCTTCAGCTTGAGGACCATACATCTTTATTGAGGAACAAAAGAGGAGTTCCCTCTTTTTAAATTTTCTTCATCTCAAAACTCTTTGACATCATATCTCACTCTTTCTTTCTCCTGGTATCTTTGATAATGAGGTGGCCTATCTCCTTGGCCCTGATCAATTCCTTGATCCCATCTTCTTTATTTTCTAGCATTTTGCAACATTGGTCATGTCTTCTCTTTCTTTCTCTTGTTCTAACTCTGCCTATGTACTGATTCCTTTCTATTGTATTCAGATATGTCTTTGTCTAGTCCATCCTTAAAAAAACCTTCCCTAGTCACTACTGTCTCCTCAAGCTATTGACCAATATCTCTTTTCTGTTGCTCAGCCAAACCAATAGAGAAACGACAACAACAACAACAAAAACTATCTACACTTGCTGCTTCTGTTTCCTCTTTTCTTATTCCCCAGCCTTGTGCAATATGGTTTTTGATTTTATCATACAGTTGAACGATCTTTAATTGCTAAATCTGATGGTCTTTTCTTAGTCTTTATCCTTCTCAACCTAAGTTAGACAGTGTTTATCACCCTCTCTGGGTTTTGTGACACTGCTTTGTTCTTAATATACTTGTCTGACTGCTCCTTTTCACATTTCTTTTGCTGGCTCTTCTTTTATATTATGCCCCTAACTGCTGGGCATTTCCAAAAACTCTATCTTTGGCAGCCCTCTGCTCTTCTATCCATTCTCTTTTGGTAACCTGATGAGCTCCCACAGACTGAATAATCATCTCTATGCAGATCTATATATCCAGGTTTAGTCTTTCCCTTGAGATATAGTCTTGTATCGTTCATAACCTGTTGGATATCTCAAATTGAATGTCCCAGAGACAAACTTAAGATATCCCAAACAACATATTATTTCTTCCTTCAAATCCATCTAACTTCCATACTTTCCAATTTGTATTAATGGCACCACTATTCTTCTTATCTCCCATATTCATAACCTTTATGTTATCTTTACCTTTTCTGTTTCCCTTGTGCTAGTTATCCAGTCAGTACTTGCTGTGGCATGTCCTCCTCCCCTCTTTCAAAATGACATCAACACTATTAATATTAATAATGAAATAGTGACATTAATATTCTATGAGAAGTAGAAATATTTTTTAAGCTAGAACTGAGAGTTTTACTTTTTAAAAACAAAAAATTAGTAGGCTGCTTATGCTTTTTTTTTTCCTACATGGCATGTCCTGTGCCCCTCATCTTGTTCACCTCCCAGTTTCTGTTCATCCTTTGTAGCCAAATTCAAATACTCTTTTCCCCCCACAAAACCTTCCCTAATCTTTCTAGCCAGAAGTAATAATTTTCTCCTGTGAGCTACCATGATGCTTTGTACCTCTTGATCACACTTTCACATTAATTATAACTTGATTCCATATACTTAAATACATGTATTACTTCTCTTAAGAGACTATAACTTCTCTTATGGCAGGGTCTGTATCTTATTCTTTGTATTCCCATAACACCTAGCGCATAGTAAGTAAGCACTCAGTAAATATTTGTTGAATTAATGCCAAGTTAAAAACAACTGCATAAAATTGAATGACAAGCAGAAAATGTTTTTTAAAGAAATATTTAGTTGTTTTTGTTTTTGTTGTGGAATTTATATTATAATGGGGCTGTAATCTTATTGATGTGAGTACTTCTTTCAGTGATACAAATCATACCCATCTATGTCCACACTGCATGACTCTTGCCCTTGTCTTACTGCAAGTCTACATTGGGATTCATCTGGTGTTCTTGGGGGTCTTCATTGCATTTTCAGGACAATTTATATTTTATCTGTAACTTTTTTTTTGTCTTTTCAGGAAATGAGTGGTTTGTACTCCCCTGTCAGTGAAGATAGTAAAGTGCCTCAGTTTGAAGCTCCCTCTCCATCACACAGGTAAAGCTTTGAGTTCTCATTTATCTGAGATTTGTGTTAGAATCCACATTTGGTACTAGTGTTTGGAAGCCCTTACTGTACAGTGTTATCAAACCCTATAGAAATTACATTTCAGTAAGGTTTAAAAATTAGATTCAGATAATCCATCATTTTTCTTAAAGTTTTGTATTTCCATATCAGGAATAATTGGTGAAGAGACTGCTATAATGTTGTGTATCCACAATTGGTGTGTTTTCTTTATTGTTGACTTCACTTTTATTCTTGGCATACATAACAGGGAGGGTACAATCTGTAATGAATTAAATGAATGACTGTCTCTTGACAATACTAATCAGTTAAGGGCTGTGGTGGCTTATTGAAAGACATTCATGGAAAGACCATAATCAGCTGTTTGTATCAGCCTGATATATTATCAGGAAAAATAATGCTAGGCCAAAAGATGCCTGTAAGCATTTGAATAAATGGATTTCTTGGTAGAATATAGTATGGAGTACACTTGAATGTTTTACCTCAGTAGTAGCTTATTTGGAAGTTTGGATGTCTGAGAGGCCTAGTTTTTTTTGTGAGTCACCATCTGCCTTTTTTTCTTTTTTTAACATTCTAACTCTTCTGAATCCAGTAAGCAGAAACTCTCATAACTAAGGTCAAGGGTTATGTTTTGATCTGCCTGCTGAATTTGCCACTCATTTCATCATACACATGGGCTTAGGATTTCCTGTTCATACTATCTGATGTTTAATTTTAGTACACTTTACGGATTGTTTCTACTGTGATTATCCTGAAATGCCATTCATTCTCTTAGGCATCTAGATGTATTGGAAAAGAGCTCTGGGCTCGAAGTTAGGAGAAGACTGGATTGCAACTTCAGTTCTGGCCCTTACAAGTTGTTTGTATGACTTTATCACCTCTCATCCTAGAGTAATGTTTTATAAGTTAATATCTGTAGTATAAACTGTTATATTCTTTTGTCACTCTTAGGAAAATTGAAATTAAAATTTGAAATTAAAAAGTCCTTAAAGCTTAGTGTTACAGTATTTGTTGAATAAGTTCTTCTTCAATCTGTGCAGAATCTTTACTGACAAGCTTTTTCTATCTTGGAGAGACTTTTCCTGTTGTTCTTTCCCTGCCCAAATCCCAGTTTTAAAATCATTCTTAAAGCTTTCTTTGAAAGTTACCTCTAATGTTTTTGTTCCAAGTTTTGGCTGAGCATATTCAAAATAAGTCCTTGTAACAGTCCTGTCACAGCTAACTTTATTTAGTTTGATGATTTCTGCTTTACTCTTTCATAGTAAAGAAATAACTTATAATCTTAATTTTTTTTATAGTGGAGTAGTAAATAGTAAATGAAATAGATAAAACATTATTTTTAAGTACTTCTACATAATGTTCTAGGAATTCCTCAGCTCCATAACAGTGTTAAAAGCAGATCAGACTTGCCATGCTTAATTCTTTCACAATTCCCTCTCTTTCTGAAAATTTAGCCAGGATTGGTATTTCTAAATGTAATGGAATAGTAGATTCAGACATGTTTTATTTACCAGAATTTAATGTTTATTTCTTTTATGCATATATAAATTATCTCAGAGATTTTTGTAGCTACATTGATATTTTCTGGTTGCCTCATTTTGGCAATGTAAGATCCTTGATTTTTTTTTTCTGAGCGTTATCTTTCTCTGTTTCATGCATCTTGAGAATTCCACAAAACCATCCTCTTTGTATATTCAGTCTTCCAATCTCAGTCTAACTACTTTTTTTTTAAATGCCATTTATACTTCATCATACAATACATTTAGGGACCAATATTAAAATTTGTTGGCTCCACTCTCATTGAAAGAGAAAAGCATCAATAAGAATATTTGTAGATCTTTTCCATTTTTCGTCTCCCTGTTATTTCAGTTTTATCCTTAAATGTTATGGGGATGATGTGACTTGGGTCCCTTGCTAAACTGTAAGTTTTTTTGCCCTCTACTATTTTCTCCTTATTTTAGAAGTTGATTTTGCCCACCATATTCTAACATACTCCTCCTTAAGATTTTACAAAAATTTATTTTCTAAACCTGTTTTGTCCTTGGATTTGAAATCTCTCTGCTTAGCTAGGAGATCAAATGTTTGTTGCTTGAGGCATTTTAAATTTTTTTTTAATAATATTTAATTTCCCCCCAATTACATGTAAAAACTGTTTTTAACATTTTTAAAATAAAGTTTTGAGTTCCAAATTTTATCCCTCCTTCCCTCTTCTACCCCGAACTTGAGATGTTAGGCAAACTGATATAGCTTGTACGTATACAGTCATCAAAAACATTTCCATATTAGTCATTTTGTGCAAGAAGACTCCAACAACAAAAAAAAGAAAGCGAAAAATAGTATGCTTCAGTTTGTATTCAGACAGCATCAATTCTTTCTCTAGAGGTGCATAACATTTTTCATCATGAGTCCTTTGGGATTGTCTTAGATCATTGTGTTGCTGAGAATAGCTAAGTCATTCACAGTTCTTCGTCGTATAGTGTTGCTGTTACTGTGTACAACATTCTCCTGGTTCTGCTCATTTCACTTTGTATTAGTTCATTTAAGTCTTTCCAGGTTATTTTGAAATTATCCAGCTTATCATTCTTGTAGTGTACACACACACACACACCCTTATATATATTCCATTACAATTATATACCACAACTTGTTCAGCCATTCCCTAGTTGATGGAGAATCCCCTTGAGAGCTGCTATAAATATTTTTATATAAATAGGTTCTTTTCACTTTTTGAAAAATCTCTTTGGGATATAGACCTAGCAGTGTTGCTGCTAGATGCAACATGTACAGTTTTGTAGCCCTTTGGGCATAGTTAAAAATTGCACTCCAGAATGGTTGGATCAGTTCACAACTTCACCAACAGTGCATTAGTGTCACAATTTTCCCATATCTTCTCCAACATTTATTGTTTCCCTTTTTTATCATATTAGCCAATCAAATAGGCGTGATGTGGTTTTAATTTGAGTTTCTCTAATAAATGAAGATTTAGAACATTTTTTTCATATGGACTAGAGGTAGCTTTGATTTCTTCTTCTGAAAACTACCTTTTCATATCCTTTGACCATTTATCAGTTGGGGAATGACTTGTATTCTTATGAACTTGTCTCAGTTCTCTATATATTGGAGAGATAAGGCCTACTTCAGAGATACTCGCTATAAATTTTTTCTCCAGTTTACTATTTTCTTATTTTGATTGCATTGATTTTGTTTGTGCAAAACCTTTTAATTTTATATAATCAAAATTATCCATTTTATATTTTGTAATGCTCTTTTTGTCTTCTTTTGTTCTAAAATCTTCCCATATTCATAGATCTGACAGGTAAACTATTCCATGCTCTCCTAATTTGCTTTATGGTATTATCCTTTATGTGTAAATTCACATAGCCATTTTAACCTTGTTTTGGTATATGGTGGGAGATGTTGCTCTGTACCTAGTTTCTGCCATACTGTTTTCCTGTTTTCCCAGCAATTGGGATTGTCAAATAATGAGTTTTTGTTCCAAAAGCTTGGATCTTTGGTTTATTAAACACTAGATTACTGTGGTTATTTCCTACATTGTGTTGTGTACCTAATCTATTCTACTGATCCACCATTCTGTTTCTTAGCCAGTACCAGATTGTTCTGATAATTATTGCTTTATCATATAATTAGAGATCTGGTATGGCTAGACCATCTTCCTTTACAATTTTTTTTTCATTGATTCCATTGACATTTTATTCTTTCAGATGAATGTTATTATTCTTTTCTAGCTCTATAAAATAATTTTTTAGTAGTTTGGTATGGCACTGAGTAAGTAGATTAATTTAGGGTAGAATTGTCATTTTTATTATATTGGCTGGGCCTATCCATGAGCAATTAATACTTTTCCAGTTTTTTAGATATGACTTTGTGTGAAAAGTGTTTTGTAATTGTGTTCATATAGTTCCTGGGTTTGTCTTAGCAGGTAGGCTCCCAAGTATTTTATGTTATCTACAGTTATTTTAAGTGGAATTTCTCTTTCCATTTCTTCCTGCTGGACTTTATTGGTGATATGTAGAAATGCTGATGATTTATGTGGGTTTATTTTATATCCTGTAATGTTGCTAAAGTTGTTAATTGTTTAAACTAGCCTTTTAGCTTATTCTCTAGGATTGTCTGAGTACACCATCACATCATCTGCAAAGAGTGATGATTTTGTTTCCTCATTGACAGTTCTAATTCCTTCAATTTCTTTTTCTTTTCTTATTGCTGTAGCTAGCATTTCTAGTACAATATTGAACAATATTGAATAGTAATGGTGATAATGGGCATCTTTTCTTTATCCCTGATCTTATTGGGAAGGCTTCTAGCTTATTCCCATTACAGATAATTGTGGCTGATGGTTTTAAATACATATTACTTATCATTTTAAGGTAAGCTCCATTTATTTCCATGCACTCTAGTGGCTTTAATAGAGATGGATATTTTCTTTTGTCAAAAGCTTTTTCTTCATCTGTTAAAATAGTCATATGATTCTTGTTGTTTTTGTTATTGATATAGTCAATTATGCTGATAGTTTACCCAATATTGAACTAGCCCCACATTCCTAGCATAAATTCCACCCAGTCATAGTGCATGATCCTTGTCATATATTGCTATAATCTTGCTAGTATTTTATTTAAAATTTTGCATCAATATTTATTAGGAAATTTGGTCTGTAGTTTTCTTTTTCTGTTTTCACTCTTTCTGCTTTAGGTATTAGCATCATATTTGTTTCAGAAGAGGAGTTGTTTTGTTAATTTTGTTAATCTCAATCCTAGAGAATAAGCTAAAAAGCTAGTTTAAACAATTAAAAATATAGTATTGTGATTAATTGTTCTTTAATCATTTGGTAGAATTCATTCGTGAGTCCATGTGGTCATAGGCATTTTATTTCCTCTTTTGTTAATCTGGGCAATTTATATTTTTGTAAATATTCATCCATTTCATTTAATTCACTCTTTTCATTTTTGATGCTT